GGGTGGGGGTGGGGGGTGGGTGCGTTCTTGCCAATTGAACCAGAATGGCAATTGACGATTGTGACTTGTCTCAATATTTGTATAGACATAATTTACACATAATTTACTAATGAAGTGTGTGATTCATTGGATAATGCTCAGTGTGTTATATATTTGTACAGGTGGGTGTATGACTCACGAGCGTTTTTAAGATAAATTATAATATATTCAACAGTGAAGTAAGGGAGATAACTCTGAAAATCTGTTATTGAGGTAAATTTTTTAATAAAATGTCAGTTGTAATTGACAATTTAGAACTTGAAAAGTAATTAAAACACTGCCATTATCAATTTTACCTCAAACATTTTGTATTTAGTTTATTTTCCTGAGGTGGCTGCTGAAGAAAATTGTTGATAGTTCAGAAAACATTTTTTTATAGATCAACTTTAATTTGATTGCACAGTGTTTCTACTGTGACGATCAATAGTAACGATAGACGTCAGTCATGTCTTATTTCAAATCTGTTTTTCTGGCTTTCATTCTCAGCTGTGGTTTGATTCCAAAGTTACTTAAATTGTATTCCAAATCAGAATTATCTCCCTTGCTATGTATCTTGACAGTAAACAGTCCATCTGAAGTTATCAAATCAAACAGAAATATAACCAAATTTATGACTTGCCTGTCTCCCTGGAAAAGATTAAATAAGTTTTTGTGTTAAAATCCTAAAATCTGCGCTCGGAAGTAATATACAGTATATCATTTTCATATCTCAATTTTGATATTAATCCTTATCATTACCTTCCAAGGCTAGGATTTATATTCCTGTCATCATCAACTGTTAACAGGAATTTAGACTTGCATCGTAAGTGCTTAATCTATCATAATATTTTTGCAACAGGAAAACCGTAGAAAATACATTCCATTAATTTTCTTTAACTGTTGAGATTCTTGATCAACAGATTAAAACTGAGGAAAAAAAAACTGAGAAAAAAACCTCAAGTTTTTGGTATTAAGGTTTATTATTCTTTAACATCAAGATAAAATTGATATATGGCTCCCCGGAGTGTAATAACTGTGAACATTGTGACATGTTTATCGGCGTGTTACATGTGTTTCTGTGGCCGTGTCAGATGCCTGGTAGTAGCGGACATTATCCACTCGTGATGTCATTCCCTGAGAACTGTCCCACAAAATATAGATCATGTCCAGCGATGTCTGGACCCGGAGGCTGGGGCCCTGTACCCCATTCCCAGGCCATCGCTGTTGGCAACTTATCACGTATTTATGGACCCTAAGACATCATTTCTATCCAGATTTGACGTCCTCTCTGATATTTATTAAAAAGCTTGCCCACACTTTGTCCTCACTTCATTGTGGTCATTCAAACTTTGTCAGAAAGAAGACAGTCTACCCACTTTTATCTTATTTTATTTAAAGACAACTTTTGATTTACCTCCTGGGATTCGTACGGAAGAAGAAAAAACATTACCCATCACAGGAATCTCCATGTGTCAGTGACCCTCTGAGATTCCAATAGCAGGGAGATGAATCACCAATCTCCAAAAGTAGTTACAGTCAGGGACTCTTTAAACAGACAGAAGTTTGAATCACATTTAATATTCTTTATATGCCTGTATTACATCACTGAAATAGCCTATATAAAGTAGTTGTCATCAGATTTTTATCAAGGAAGGAAATTCTCGCAATGGCTATTTCTACTTGTTAGGTTAGTTTTCTCCTTATAAAAAGTACAGTGGGGACTTAACAGGAATGCTGGATCACACGTACCAGGGGACTGAACAGGAGTGCTGGATCACACATACTAGGGGACTTAACAGGAATGCTGGATCACACGTACTAGGGGACTGAACAGGAGTGCTGGATCACACATACTAG